AACTCTGTGGCTGGGCTCCGTGGCTGGGCCTTGTCCTCCTCTTGTCCTCCTCTTGGCCGCGCCCCTGAACTCTGTCAACTCTGTGGCTGGGCTCTGTGGCTGGGCCTTGTCCTCCTCTTGTCCTTGTCTTGGCTGCGCCCCTGAACTCTGTCAACTCTGTGGCTGGGCCTTGTCCTCCTCTTGTCCTCCTCTTGGCCGCGCCCCTGAACTCTGTCAACTCTGTGGCTGGGCTCTGTGGCTGGGCTCTGCGGTTGGGCCTTGTCCTCCTGTTGTCCTCCTCTTGGCCGCGCCCCTCTGTCAACTCTGTGGCTGGGCTCTGTGGCCTCTTGGCCGCGCGCCTGAACTCTGTCAACTCTGTGGCTGGCTGGGCCTTGTCCTCCTCTTGTCCTCTTCTTGGCCGCGCCCCTGAACTCTGTCAACTCTGTGGCTGGGCTCTGTGGCTGGGCTCTGTTCGAGAAACTTTTTTGTTACTTTTTCACCAAACAGTTTAATGTTGAGGTTCTATCTTGGAAAAAAAGCTGGCCACACGCACTGGCCGCGCCCCTGAACTCTGTGGCAGGGCTCTGTGGCCTGGCTCTGCTTGTCCTTCTTGGCCGCGCCCCTGAACTCTGTGGCCGGGCTCTGTGGCCCGGCTCTGTGTCCAGGCCTTGTCCTCCTCTTGTCCTTGTCTTGGCCGCGCCCCTGAACTCTGTGGCTGGGCTCCGTGGCCCGGCTCTGTGTCCGGGCCTTGTCCTCCTCTTGTCCTTGTCTTGGCCGCGACCCTGAACTCTGTGGCTGGTCTCTGTGGCCCGGTTGACTGGAGAAGAGTGTGGCCGAACAAATAGCGATATCGATGCCGACAAAAATCATTGATAAAGCAGGTTGCTCCTGGGGGGAAGGCAGGGCGTACCAAGAAATCGATGTTTGATGTTTTTTGACTACTACTGGTCCAAACGAATCGTTTTAAAACTGTTTGGGGTCTATGCTGGTATAATTTTTTTAAACTGCAACAGGGCTCCAAACTGTTCTTGTGGCACATTGTGGCCTTGGAACGAATTTTGCTTTGCAATTTTTGCAGTCCGGGCGTGTGACTTGACTGAATCTGATGGACTGACCCATGATTCATGACGACGGCAGTTCCCACCCTCCCTGGTCTGGTCTGGTGATACGGTACCGGAGGGATCCGAAAGAATCTGCCAGTGCCAAGATGTGGTGGCTACTTGTAAGGGCACGTCTCTTACAAGAGGTTTCATGAGAAGCTTCCATGTGGGGAGGGTGATGTTGTGGGGTGGCATTCGGCCAATCGGGGAGGTGGCATTTCCCTCCACACACGGTCAGTTGACCTTCATTGACCCTCCAAGCCTTGGGACCTGGACCCTCACCATCCACGACACATGTGGACGCCAGGAGGTTTGGCCATTTGTTTTCGAGGTCGTGTGTGCATCCGGGTTCGTGGGCTCCATCTTGTGTTGAATTGGCAGCTTCAGGGCTACTTCTGTTCAGTGAGCAGAGATCCTTCAACCACTCTGGTGCTGGTCGAAGATGTAGAAGACGAGCCAGACATAACAAAACGAGGTTGTTTATAGGGGGGGTTTTGGTGGCTCCAGAGTGCCACGGACCCTGTCCACCCCAGGCGTGCAGATCCGGCACTGCCTGTGATCGACCCCGTGGAGGGCGCGGCGGGCGGCGCCACCTTCTGGTTAAGCTGTTTGATCCAACGCGCCAAAGACCACGAGGCCGAGTGTGCTCGGTTTCAGTATGTTTCAGTATATTCATTGAGAGTTCGCTGCCCATGGCTTCTCCGAAGCTCGTGCGGCCGATCACACGGATAGAACAGATGGAAATATATAGGTCTCCCCAATGACTGAGGTGCTATGGTGGAAGTTCACTTTATCAGGTGACCTACCTTCACTCTTCAAAATGGGTGGTGAAAGATGATTGGCCCTTGGCAGTCAGCCATGATGGCAGTCAGCTTGCCAATTCCGGAGGTCCGGCCGTCAGAGGGTCCAGGATGCGGTCAACCCGCGTTTCGACCGGGGGCGACAGCGGGTCAAGCTGCTTGGATCGAATCACGGGCGTCAGCGAGGAGACCTGGAGAGTGATGTGGTACACCAAGGCCACAGGTCATTTCAGATCCTGTAGAGAGACATTTAGGGTCATTTCAGGCTCCACCTGAGAGCATTGCCTAGGAAAACATCAACCATGAGCCCGATGCCGCGTATTGGAACGCAGGTCATCTATGAAGAGCAGCGCCCTTCGGGTTCGACACCCACCGTCCGGCGGGGGCGCTTCCAAGACGCCCTTGGTGCATGGGAGACTGCAAGGCGAGATCAAGCAGGCGTCCATTCCCACAAACCGGCCTTCCCCATTGATCCCCATTGGACCGCACCAACCACTAAACAATTGCCATCTTTTGCATAGTTATGGCATGCTCATGGGACCACAATCCACTTGCAGGACCTTTGGGCCCAAGTGGCTACCCAAACTTGCCTAGTTCATACTTACCACCTGATAGACCAACGTTTGCAGCCCTGCGGGGTGCTGCATGCAAGGTAAGTGTCAAGACTCAGCACCTCATGCCTAGGCTGAGGCCTAGTGGGACAGTCAGCCCGTGGACGATTTTGTTACTGGCTCCGCACATTCACAAAAATTATACTGTATATATATATATATATGCATCAAGGGAGCCACACACACAATGCAGTCTTTGATGTCAAAATGACATACCTCAGAGCAGGCCTGACCGACCCATTTGGCTTTGCGATGAGAACCTTGGCCTTGGTTGTGCTGATCAGATGTGTTTGCTTTCGTTTGCATGGGAAAGAAGTCCAAACTCACAGACCTGTACTGGTTGGACTCCTAGTCCTGGTTGTGGGTCTCAAACTCGAAATGCACATGTCACCACCTGTTGGAAGGGCTGAGCTCAATTTCTTGGATTTGGGGGGCCTGATTTCCAATGGTTTATGACGTAATGAGGCTCTACTGACACATTGTCCTGGCTTCTTTCTGGTGTGACGCACCTCGCAAGGCACCGAATCGTCTGCCACCGTGCGTCGCATGGCCCGATGCAGATGGCACCCCTTGACGCGGTTTTGTTTTCGATGCTTCAATGTGCTGGTCAATGTGCATCAACAAAAATACGGTTTTTGACCATCCAAGGGACCTGATCTCTGCAGATTTCCTAGATGAAGTTGGTGGGCTCCCCAGCTGCTTTGCACCACGGGCAGGACGGGAAGCGAAGCCTTCACATGCCTTCACCGTGTGTCCACAGGAGTCTTCCACCATGGATCCTTCCTCTCTTCGCTAGTGCTGCCTGTTGGTCGTTTCTATACCCTGTAGTTTTGGAGGGGTAGCGCTTGTTGAATTGAATCAACTCCTTCAACTCACTTACATTCATTTACATATATATATATATACTGTAGATGTTTCTATAATTATTATCTAAATGCACATGTGTAATCCCATCATATCTTTGTCCATTTGATCGACTGACTGAGCGGTTGACCACCCAGTCCGACTTCTTTCCATCCACGGTTTTGGGGCCCTCCAATTTTGGATGTTTGGGCCGGACAAGTCTGCAAATGTGTTACATTCACATCTTGATATGAAGCAAGCCAGGCAGGGAGCTCCATCAACAGCCGCATGAACAAACTGATGTGAGTGATCCTTTAGGGAAGCATATTCATGTTTTGTTGAGCGTCGAAGTCGGCCAACCTTCGCGCTATTGTGTTGCATCTCCCCGCATGTCTCTCCAAAAGCGGGACAGAACAACCGGCTCCAAGACCACCAAAAAGGCATCATGCCTGGGCCACAACAGGGAACAACACGAAGCTCTGGCCAAAATGCGCGGGCCACGAAAGGCCCAAAGCGGCCGGCAGAGCCTTTCGAGGTGAAGACCACGGCATAGCCTTCCTTGCCACGACGGCGACGCGGACGGCGCCGCCCAGCCCAGCCGCGTTGTGCTTGGCCAGCGCCAATGCGCGGACCACGTGGCGTCGGGATCCGCTCTGCTGGAGCCCGCTGGGCGGCAGAAGTCCTTCTCTCTTTCTCGAAAGCACCTGTGTATCCTCCTCCTCCTCCTCCTCCCCCCTCCGTCTCCGCCTCCGCCATTAGCATCAGCATCAGCATCAGCATCAGCATCATCATCATCATCATCATCATCATCATCATCATCATCATCATCATCATCATCATCATCATCATC